CCACTACTGTATCATGTCTAGATGAACCAACCGTAACTGAACTTCACACAATGACGGTATTTCCCCTCTTGATTCCTATCTAAAAGAAGTTTAACGAAAATATTAAAATGGCACTACGGGTTCATCAGTGAAGTGGAAAGGAAAAAGGGAACAGAAACTTCTCCCCGAATCGTCACCTTTGAATCCTTTCCTACAGGTACATCTGAACCAACTGTAACTGAACTTCACACAATGGCGGTATTTCCCCTCTTGATTCCTATCTGCAAGAAGTTTAATGAAAATATTAAAATGGCACTACAGGTTCATCAGTGAAGTGGAAAGGAAAAAGAGAACAGAAACTTCTCCCCGAATTGTCACCTTTGAATCCTTTCCTACAGGTACATCTATATCCATTCAACAGATCCTCACAAGTTGTAACTGAACTTCACACAATGGCGGTATTTCCCCTCTTGATTCCTATCTGCAAGAAGTTTAATGAAAATATTAAAATGGCACTACAGGTTCATCAGTGAAGTGGAAAGGAAAAAGAGAACAGAAACTTCTCCCCGAATTGTCACCTTTGAATCCTTTCCTACAGGTACATCTATATCCATTCAACAGATCCTCACAAGTTCCTCCATTCTGGCACGGGTTTGATTTACATTCGTTTCCTTCTGTTGAACAGTAATCGCCGATCCAGCCTGGGTCACAGACACACTTGTACCTTTAAATGCAAAAACAGCAGTAATTTTAGAGCATTCTGAAACAACTCCTCCACCAGTTTCTCCTGGAGAGAAAAACAGAAGAAGTCTCTTTAGGAGAGCTCTAAATTATGTTTGGATTGCTTACCCCAGCTGTATAGTTTTGAAAATACCCCCCCCCACTTAAAACTACACTTTCCTCTGTCAGAGTTTTCACAAAGCGCTCAGTCAACCAGCAATATGTTTCTGCTTTGATTAGACCATCTCAACACATTTAAACAAGACAGGAAAAAAAAATAATTAAAAAAAGTGGAGAGGAACAATAGGTTCCAAAGATAACTAGACCAATTTAATACAAAGCCGTGGTTACAAATGAAAACAGCTGGCTGGGAGCAGGAGCAATCTTCTCCATCATGTTTCAAAATCTGAAGTAGGGCAGCACTCCACCCACATGACGTAGAGCCAAGGACTTGGTGAATCACCCTGGACTCACGCCACCCAAAACACACACTGACCTCCCTCCCTGTCATGCAAACGAGACTTATTCTATCTGGCACCCAGAGTAACATGTACATGGGCATAAATATGAACACAGGTGACAGATGATAGACAAGATGAACCAAAACATTGGTTTCTCAAGCTTCCAGAGAGGCTGAATTAGCAATAAAGGCAGTCTTCCTGCCAACTCCAGGGAAAGTGCTGAATCCTGCCTTACAGGGCACTTCCTTGCCCAAGTGCTGACACTTTCCAGGATGCGGGACACGTCTGGGAGGCACTGCTAATCCACCTACACTTGAGAAGTTTCACAAACACAAGCCCTACCTCCCCAAACCTGCCGACTCCACTGGCCCTGTGCTCCCAGACTTGTTACTGGCAAAAAGCAGCGTGATTAAGGGCTCCTGAAAACAGCATTTAGTCTTCCTGGATGGGAAGATTCAGAAGCAACTACTGCCATCAAAACAGCCAGAAAGAGCTTTCCTTTTATTCTCTCAGGCATGCAACAATGTGACTAAAGTTAGGGAAATCTCAGCCTTGGACAAACTGTTCTAAGTCAAATATAGCTTTATCTCCTGGTGTAAAAAGTTGTCTGCCTCTTCCTTAGTACTGAGTAGTTGGGTGGCAATAACAGCAGTAGCAACAGAGATTCTTTGTTTGATGGAATAAATCCCGCTGGGGATAAATACCCTTTGGGGGTTCAATTTGGTACCACTTCTTTATTTTAATTGCATTCAGTCTACTCACTCGAATTACCAGACCTTCCATTTAGATGGTGGCAGTCCACTCTGCGCTACGTGTCCATGCAAAGAAAGCAAAGAATACAAGGCACGACAGAAAAACCTATGCTGAAATAGCTCAGACTGCAGCCGGTGACTAAAGGTCTACACATTACTGTGACTATGTCATGGGCAGCAGATAAACCTGGATCCTAATCTAAGAAATTAGAGAAAAATCAGGAACTTCAAGTCAAGACAGAACTCTGGGCAAAGCAAGGGAAAAAAACAGAGTACACAAGGCAGGAGGTAAGTTTAATGTGACCGTAAGTACTTACCCAGTAGCAATATGGGTGCAGTTGCCATGTACACAGGGATTACTGAGACAGCCATCTGCCTGTGACTGACAGTGAGGGTGATGGTAGCCTTCAGGACACACACACCGAAAGCCATTGACCTCATTTATACATGTTCCACCATTATGACAGGGGCTGGATGTGCATTCATCAATGTCCACATTACAACGTGGGCCTAGAGAAACGACAACGCTTATTAAATAGTATTTCTTAAACGAACGTTTGCTGCACACGTCTGCCAGAACACACCGAGACACAACTCAGTAAAGCCAATGCAGCGGGACAGAGCTTGCATGCCTCCGTGCCGTAACTGAAGTCAAGAGAAGCAGTTTTGAAAGCTGCAGCACTTGTCTGTGCTTAGAAAACAGCACTTGCACTCAACAAGTATTTACAAACTATTCAAGAATCTCACCAGAACTCCACTAAAAATCACTGGTTAATATTCATTAGGAAGGCAAAAATCACTCCACTAGTTGTATCATGCTTGGAACAAACCTCTCGAGCTCCACTTGTCACAGCCCTGCTCTTCTGCTTTGAAAGTACCGACCCTTTGAACAACCAATACTGCCATACTGTCTGCAGTAAATATAGTTCTTGTGGTTTATTGCGCAAAAGGGACTCTAAAAAACACCGCTTCCTGTTTTGCCTGCCTCTGATTACGACTGCAAGATCCTTGACGTAGTGACCGTAAGATCCTGTGATGCTGGAAAGCTAAACACAGTGAATGTTGCAGTAAGTTGAAAGCATTTTTAACACAGGAAAAGGACACAGTAACGAGACACCATGCAAGCCAGCTCTTTAAATACTGGAATATGCCAATTTAAGATATTACTGGATTATTTTAACAGAAAGAAGTCCAGGAGGATAACCAGTATGGTATGCCAGCAATGAAGAAGAGTGAAAGGCAAGAGTGATCAGAACCATGCCTCCTCCTGTTCCGTGGACTAAAGAGCACCACCACGCCAGAGCCAAAGGAAGTAAGAAGCATCAGAAGTTTACAAAGATGCCGAGAGAAAAGCACAAGACACATGAAACCTCTTAGTGCTATTTCTAATGATTTTCAGATCAATTCTACTTAGAATCATTCACTAATAAACAGTAACAAACCTGATGAGAAAACTCTTATAAACAGTGCCAACTGCCTTACAACAATTATTTAATGAGTGCATTGTCCCACGTGGTTCAAAACATATTAAGTCCATTATAACCAGTGCTGAGATGTGCTTTAGTCATCAGAAATAGTCCTGACATAGATCTACAGTTCAAAGTGTGGATCCAAAAGTGCCAAAACGCTTCTTTCTTTCTTTAGGCCCACTTTTACTGTATTAGATAAATCTTTATGATTTAAATAAGAGACAGAAGAGATCACAATACAAAAGAGAAGCTCTGAAAAAAGCAGGTTAGTCAGTTGGAGGCTTCGGAGTGGAGAGCAGCTCATTAGAACACTGAATTAATGCTTTGCGTTGACAAAAAGAGAAATGCTGTTCATGGTCAAAGCCCAAGGTACTGCCTAATCAAATACCTCTCTATATTGTCCACAGTCTCTCTGTCCCTGAAAAGAAGCTGTAAATAATAAACCGAAGTCACATGAGTTTATTTGTTATAAACCCAAGAACCATGAATTGGACATAATTACCTAACAAGAATGGCATTTCACAGCACAGATTAGGCCATTTTTCTGCTTGGTAGAATTTGCTGTAATCTAAGATGCCAAGATTCAAAGATTAGAAGGATTTACCGAGATATTAACTGAATCCCTTGCAATCAGCATGCAGAGAACAGCTTCCTTAGCTACCCAGATAACTATCTTTAAAACAACTCGAAGCTATTGGGTAGCTGATTTACCTGTAAATCCAGGTTTGCAAGCACAATTGTAGCGATTAATGCCATCAATACAGTCCCCGTGAATGCACGGGTTACTTGCACAGTCATCAAAATTATTTTCACAGTTCACTCCTGGAAGAAAAAGTTAGAGGAATAAGGAGGATCAGTCTTACAAAGACGACAACAAAACTATTTCCCCGACATAGCCAAAAACAAGAATCCCACCTGTTCAAAGTTACCTACACACTGGGGCAACTTAACAAGTGATGATACTGAAGCACTGAGACACCAAGGAATGTCACCTGAGTCACCGGGTGCTGACTGAATGACCCTGAACTAGTACAAAATGTTTAAACAAAAGAATAAGACATTTTGAACACCATGCCTGGTAGTTTTTTTCCTGTATGTCTTTTTTTTTTTTCCCCCTGCGTGCTTGAATTTGGGGAATAAAGAAGAGGCGAGTTAGGCAATCCACACAAGCCCAGGAAAAGTAACGTGAAAATGATACTCTCAAACCACAAGCTTACGTCTGTATGTAAATTTAGCACACACCAGAGCATGTTAAGAAATAATTAAACGCTTGAATTCTGTTAGAAACCAATCCTTTCGCTCAAGGTTTAGTACCTGAAGTTCCCAGCAAGCAGTTGCACTGATAGCCATTCACCAAATCAATGCAGCGCCCTTGATGGAGGCAGGGATTGCTGTGGCATTCGTCTATCTGCTCGCTGCATATGGCACCCATGTAGCCAGGATTGCATACACATGTGAAAGAATCAATCCCATCCTGGCATTCCCCGTGATGGCAAGGATCCGGATCGCAGTTGTTGATATTCTCCTCACACAGAAGGCCAGTAAAACCTAAGGAAAAATGACGAACGGGAGTAATTTAAGAAGCTACCTGGTACGACGCTGCAGTGAATATAATGCAAATACAGAAAGAATCATGTTAAGAATCAGAAAAGTGGCAGACAGCACAAAGGGTAACTGGGCATCTCAACGGCTGCCCGTTTTCCAGCCCTGGAAAACAACACTTCCACTGCTCACAGCAATACAGAGCAATATCTTGCATTGAGAAACCTTGCACTGGAAGTGGTTACCTTCAGTTTATTCAGAATAGTAGCAACCAGAGGAAGCATGTAAATCTCCATGAGAAATATTTACTCACATCAGTATAAACTATCTGAAGGCACTCTCCTGTCATTATTTCCTCTACACAATACCATGGGGGCTGACTTTTTTTAGTATGAGAAATTACTGCTAAGATGCTGCAGAAACCTTCCCAAGGGAACTCCCTTGGCTCATGTCAACGCCTCTGCAGTTCTGCTCATGAAAAAGTTTCTTGCTCCTCTCATTGGGAAACCTTTCAGTAACTTCACTTGAGCACCAACTGCAAATTTATGAAAGACTGCATGCAATCTCTTCAGTTAGGAGCAATGAAACAAGCAGCAATTTGGCCTGTTTCATTCTGCTTCAGTTGGGAAACATCCTGAGCAACAGAGGAGGACAGAATCTATTCAGCAGAAGGGCTAAAACACAGGTTCAGGAAGTTAAGAGCAATAAACAATTCCCCCGGGAGCCCTGTTTTCCAAGATGGAGCAGAGCTATATGAAAGAGGGACAATTTAAAAAAAAAAGAACGATTTTCAGAGATAAGGTTTAGGAGCAACAGCTCACGCTGCCTTCCAGCAGCTGAAGATTGAAAAAGGCAGAACTTCAAGTTTCAGACACCAACCGGAGACTGATACAAACCAAGCTGCAGGGAATTTCAACAGCTGAAGAGTGTTTCTCACCTGAGTGTTATAAGTGGATAACAGGCTCCCCATTTTTCATACAGGTTTGTGGTTATTTCTCTGGTCAAACATACCAGGTGACATTTCCAAGTTCTGCGAACGTATGCATGGATGAATGGGTGTGGAAGTAGGTGGGGGGAGGGAAGGGAAGCTAGTTAGAGAGATGGATATAAAAAGATGTTAGGGAAGGAAGAATAACAAACCGGTAAGAGGACGAACAGTGGCAAAAAAAAAAAGAAAGAGGACAAAGGCAAAGAAAAGAAGAAAGACCTAAGACAACTCAAGAAAAGAAAAGCCATGATCTACCACTGGGAAGGAGAAGTGGAATAATGCCAGAGGGAAAGAAAAGACAAAAAGCAAGCAGTAAATAGAGCTATCTGTACAGCATTTGGCCAAACATTTTGCAGTTTTCAATCAATTCGGCAGCTGGCGATTATCATTCAGGGAACACACATCACTTGCAATATGAGATTAATGGAGTAAGAACACAGTAAAACATCATTTTCCAGTAACTGACCTGTCCCAGGGATGAATTTCACATTTCAGTCTTATAGAAGGCTGTCAATATTAAATATAATACTTAGCATACATTCTTTCAAAAAATTATTACCTTGACTCCTATTGTAGCTCAACCAAAACACTTAAAAAGATCAGATATATTTCTCAACCTCTTAACTGAACATACCTTATGGATTTCCCTCTTTGCAGATGACAGTCAGACTAGAAAAAAGCCACCTGAGTACAGAACATTAGAATCTCTGGGACAGACAGAAAAGCGCCCTAGCACAGAGTCCCTCTTCCACTTTCAGCCAAAGCACTAACCAAGGACCTTGCTAAGAGGTGCCGCTCCAGTAACACACAGTTGGTTGCTTTCAGTCTGTTCTTTGAAAATGCTCCACACATCACGTGCCTTCATGGAAGTAGTAGTCTTCTCACCTGGGAAACTTTAAAATTTCTGTACTGAAGCAGTTTAGTGCCCAAATTCAAGGCACAGTTTTCCACCTTGTCCTCCACTACATGACCCAGAACACTCCGAGGCTGAACAAGCTCCGCATTCTCAACGAACGGAAGCAACCAGCCCACACACCAGCCTGAGGAAGACTTTCTAAGACAGTTTCCAAGTTTGGAGAAGATTTGAGCTGCTGCTTCTTTTTGCAAGTGTCAGCTTATTCTGTCACATGCAGTAAACAAAATTCTGACAACAAAAGATTATTCCTCTCCTGATTAGAACTACTGCATTCCTCTACTTTCAACAATTTCACTGTTTCTTCAGGCACTTTGAGGAAGGGAGAGAGGGTGTGTGTGAAAAGACCAGGGAGGAATTTTTAGGCTAATCACTTCTATATTCTGTACAGTGGAGAATAAATTAGTGAAGTCAAATTTGCCCTAACAGTGTGATCGTTGGAATGATTCAAAATGAGGAAAACTGCACACAAGTCCAGTCAACCTAATAGCACATTTCTGGAACAAATGTAGCTCCAGCAACTGTTCAGCCTCTTCCCTAAAGGAAGAGCAATGAAAGGCAATGCGTTCCATGCCTGAATCTGCACCACAAGCAATGCATCAGGCACCATTAACTGAAAGCAACCAAGAGCCACTCCTTACTGAGAATTAAGGGTGTAACAGCTCTGAACCCTTTTATTTGACCACATGTGAAAAATAAGATAAAATAAATCTACATCACTCCTAGAGGTTTGAAGAAAATCTCCTAATTAAACCTGGTGCTTCTGTGTAATTAACCAAGCAGTAAAAGAATTTAGTACATTCAAAAAAACCCACCACCTCAGTTCCACCCACAGCTTTGTCAAAATTTCTGTGTGATGCTTGGCAAATCATAGAATGTTCAGGGTTGGAAAGGGCCTCTAGAGATCATTTAGTCCAGCCCCCCTGCCAGAGCAGGATCACCCAGGGCAGGCAAATCATTTAACTGCACTCCGGCAGGCAGCTACTGTGTGGCGCCTCTTGCAAGGGACACAATTGTAACTACATTTCAGTCTTCCACTTTTGACATAAAATAGCCTGACACAACAGAAATCGGAATACACAGCAGTACTGCTCTGTCCATGTCTTGTTCTTCAACTGTATACTATATAATCTGACTTGGAAGAAAGAAAGGGAAGCCAGAGATAAAAGGCTTTACACTGCAGCTCTTCCACTTGTGGATTCCATAGTCAATACAGAAGAAGCTGTCACCTTCCAGGAAGCAAGAGAGGGGGCTGAAAGGAGGCCAGAACTCCCATAAATTGCGAACTTACTGCTGTCACAAGCGAAAGGCTTTCTGTACTCAAACACTATCTTCTGCTGCAAAGGAGTAGACAGAGCTTCACAACAAGCAAGCAGTATTTCAGAGAAAGGAAGAAAGAACGCTGACGTTTCTTTGATCACCCCTTTATGTGATTAGGTCACACGCCATCTCCAGTCCAGGAGCTCTGAAGACAGGACTAACCTGTGGCACACTGGCACTCATAGCCATTGGGATGGTCGATGCATTTGGCTCCGTTGAGACATGGTGTGCTGGAGCAGTCATCTATATCAATCTGACACACGGCACCACTGAATCCTGGAAGGCAGGAAAAAAAAAGATGAAAATCCAGCAGTATTTTGAAGTAGTTAATCTAAATAGCTGCACTATCAGGCATTCTTTATTAGTAAGTCCTTGAAACCACCCAAATCTAAACTCACTTGCATCATTAAGCACATACACCACACCCTGGGGGCACTGGTTCCTCGCCCAAGCCACCAGTCAAACCACAGTTTCTATCCTTCAGATCAAAGGAGCCTCAACTTGAAAACCGAGATGGCCAAGTCAAATAGAAATGAAGCCGACTGAGCACAAGTGGTGCTCACCACTGGACAGTGTGTCTGTCTGTAAAACTGAGAGGCCACCAATAAAAACCTTGAAGTAATCAAAGCAAGTAACTTTAAATGAAACGATAACGCATACATCACTAGAGTTACCAGAATATCACTAGAATTACCAGAGCAGTATGGAATGTGGTACAATACAGCACAGTGTATCTTTCAGTACACTTCTTGAAGTAGTTAATGAACTATCGACAGATTATGTCAGATGATGCAAATCCTTAGGCACTTCAAGAAAAAAATAAAAAAATCCAGGTATTTTTCTTGGAGGAAGGAACCAAAGAAAGAGCCAGTACATCATTAGTCAATAAGAAGGGGTCAGGTATATTCTGAACTCAAAACTTTTTGTAAGCCGTCAGGAAAATAACTGACGTTTACCCTAGAGCTAACACAGATCCCTCAGCTCAGCATTTATCCTTCCTTTCTGAAGTGGAGACCCAATCCAACTCCCTTCTCCAAATCCAAACAACATAAACTGTGCTAACACAAAAATATCTCAGGTAACTTCATAAAGACAAAAAGCCTGCAGAGGCTCTGCTTTTTTAAAATGTATTTAGAATTATTCACCTGTATCTCACTGTGATGTACACAATAACAAGTTCATGCTGCCAACTGCCCTTCAAGGTGAGATGTCCAACAGTCAGTTACAGGCTCAATACTCTTGCAACCAGTGCACAGCTACTCTTACCAGTGACTGCATCTCACTCACTCAAATAGATGCTGCACTAAGACAACAAAAACTCACAAGAAAGACACCACAATCTCTCACTGCCTGTCTGTGCAGTTCTTGGTGAGGTGTAGCAGGAAAAGCTTCCAGAAATAAGTACTTACCGGGAGGACAGACACAGAGGAAGCGGTTGACTTTATCAAGACACTCTCCGTTGTTCACACAGGGGTTACTTAGACACTCATCAATATCTTCTTCACAATGAACACCTTTAAAACCTGGTTTTTTTAAAATAATAAAATAAATAAGAAGAGGTGGCCTTAGAAACTGCCCTTGAAAGTGTAACACCAGAGCTGAAAGTCAAAGCCTCTTTTCATTGCACATTTGCAGTTTGGACAGAACTTACAAGGTAAGAATATACACCAGAGGTAAAAAAGCATGTAGAACGTGTATTTTTCACTGTTGCTAAACATGCTGGCTTAATCAGTGGTAACAGAGTAACTGTGTGCTGAATTCACATCTGATGTTTTCTTCCACTTGATGAGAAGAGGTTATGTTTTAGCACTTTGGAGGATAGGAATGTATTTGTGTATGCACCAACATAAGACAAAAGGTAAAGAAACAAACACAGATAATTTTAGCTTAAGGCTTTTTAGCTAACAATGGAGTAACAGAAGAACATTAAGAACGGTGAAATATATGAGACTAGAATTCCACCTCTCAAAACAGTTTAGTTATTAATAAAAACTCATTCTAGTTTATATGGTATCAGCTGATCACCTGCAGGGGTCACAATTCTTTCATTATATTTTATAACATGCTGCAACCGACAACTTGCATCCCTTTCTTTTTTGACCGCTTTCTATCAGAAAGCAAAATAGCAGACTACATAGATCATTGGTACACTGGACACAATTTCCATCGAGTAACTTTTTTACAGTTATTTCCTCAGGTCAGTGGAAGCTTGCATCATTCAGGGTATTTTAAGCAGAGGAAAAATCCAGAATCAACATGTGCATATCTGGAAACAGTCATTCTTTTAAAGTTCACACCTGCTTTGCTTTCACAAATATAAGTTTCTGCACATGCATTTTACCAGATATAGTAGAAGAAATGTTTACATATACTGCAGCTAAGAATGCTAACTTCCTCTGCTGATCTGCAGACTGGTTTCTTTCTCAGTCCTCTAATTGCTTCCTCCCTGCCCCCCCACAAATGTCAAGTCCTCTTGGCTGGTGCCACCACATCAAGCTCTCTCACACAGTTTCATTTAGCCTCACCCCTTTGCAGTTTTGTGTTCCACTTCAGCAGAGCTGGCATTCCTCCCTGTGCTTTGCCTTCTGATTTTTTCCTTTGCTGGAAAACCTATTTCTGTCAGAAACTCCCCTCACCTGGCATACAGAGACATGTGAATCCTCCGATTTTATCCAGGCAGGTGGCATCGTTTTGGCACGGGTTCGAATGGCATTCATTGATGTCCATTTCGCAGCGAGGTCCCGTGTAGCCCTTCAAACACTCGCAGTGGAAAGAGCCTTCTGTGTTTACGCATTTCCCAGCATGTTCACATGGATTGCTGTTCGCTGCAAGAAAAATATATGTGTGTGTGAAAACTTCTCACCAGAGCAGGAAAGACACAGCATTCTTTATTAGTCACGGTCTTTTCCAGCGGTCATTCCTTTCTGGCACGTAATACCAGGGGAAGACTGTTCAACTTTCCGAGGAAAGGCTACAATTGGCAGTTACTCGCCTGTCAGAGGCAAAAGAAAGATTGCCATCATTACCAACAGACCAAAGGAGCAACTCTGGTCTGTATTACTAATAGCAGTTCTTTAGAGGAGAGTATCAACGAGCAGGGATTAGAAAATTAATGATGCTTTCAAGGCCTTATCTCTAGATCATCTTTTACACTTCACTCCTGAGGCTGACAAGATGCTGCCACAGCCACAAAGCAACGAGACTAGTCCTTTGAGTGTTTTCAGAAAGGAACAGCACTCTTGTCCAAGTTGGACTGAGGAACCAAACTCAAAGAAGTGCTTCTTTATCGTACCTCCATGAATGCTGGTTAGGTTATTAGCATCAGGCATCACACTCTAGAAGCATGAACTAGCACAGAACTATAATAAAGTCCAGCTACTCCCCAAACCAACACATCAGCATGAGAACTACAGCTTTAGAAGTCCACGTGGTCACTAGTCTTGGAAGGCACTCAAAAGATCCAGCCATACTCTTGCTGTCAAATAGCCTTGATATATTTCCACCCAGGCAGGAGCTGCAACAACTCCCACACGAACTGCAGTACTTACGCTGTTCGCTGCAGCACTAAGGGTCAATTTAATTACCGCGTCTGTTTGTGTTGCTCCTCGCACTATGCTAAAGCCCCGTTGTACAACTGTTAAGCATCTCGCTGCTTTTCACATGCTAGAGGCTAACAATTCAAACACAGCTATTCTGACTCAGCCCTCTGCCTCAAGTCTCACACAAGATTTAGAACTCATCTGACGACACTGAAATGGAAGCGGGAGACCAGAAAAGGAGTCACGCTTATGTTGAGAAGCTATGACAAAACATGTGTCCTTGCCCATATGTTAGTTCATAAAGCTAATGACCCCAACTCCCTGCTCATGCACTCCCAAATAACAGACAGAAACTCACCCATTGCACACTCGTCCACATCCTCAGTGCAGTCTGCTCCCTTATGGCCTTGAGGACAGGTGCAGATGTAGTGTCCATTCACAGGATTGGTGTCACACAGAGCGCCCTTCTGGCATGGATTGCTAACACATGCATCATCCAAGTGGCACAGAAGTCCTAGAGAAAGCATCCAAGAGTATGTTAAAAAAGCGAGATATAGCAGTCAGACTGCATATTACACAATCAAATGCTCTGTCCTGATATTTCAAATAGAGACTCCCACAGCCAGAAGCTTGACCAATATCTTACAGGCATCAACCTGTAGACTACCACAAGGATTTCATCATACACTTATATTTAAATATAGATTATGTAATTTCAGAAGCGTCTCCAGCACTTCTGGAGCAGTACAATGGCTTACCACTACCAAAATCTGTTCCTCAGAGCAGTTAATTAACTCTTCTCTCTAAGCAGCATGATGATTTTTCTGACAGCTGAAAATGCAGGTGCATATGAAGCTCACTTTATTAATTCGGATATGCTGATGACTTGTACTTCGGGCTAGCAGATAGGAGACCTTCATATTTTCACCTACCCTAACCCAGCAAATTTCCCACTAAGCCAGTACGGGCATCATCCTCACTCATACAAAAATATCTAAATTTGTCTTTTAGATTTCTAAGCGCAATTATCGTAAGTGGCACAGAGCAAGTCGCCCTCATGCATAACTTCTCAGGCAAATACAGGTTCTGCTAAGGGCTAGAAAAAGATCTGCTTTATTACAATCTAAGCTGTAACAGTTTGTCTTCCAGTTTAATACAAATACTTCTTTGTCCCAAGCTAGAGAGGTTTAAAAGGTCTTTGCTCGTGGACAGCACGTGTTTCCTTTTGTTCTTTCTGGTTTGGGCACAAAAGCATGTAAAACAACCACACCACTTTAAGCAAACGCATAAACTTCAGGAAGTTCTTCTATTAAGTGCGAGACCTGTGCAAGTTTTCTGTCCTTACCTGCCTTTCCTTCCGGACAAATGCACGAAAAAGAAGCCACTCGATCAATGCAAGTGGATCCATTAGCACAGGAGGCAGTGAAACAATCGTCAATATTCTTACTGCAGTCGTCCCCGCTCCAACCATTGACGCAGACGCAGGCGTAGCCTCCGTTGTGGTTGGTGCAGGTACCCCCGTTCTGACAAGCGTTGGGCTGGAGCTGACACTCGTCAACATCTTCAGTGCAAAACTGGCCTGATGCACAGAAAGAAAGAACCAAGTTCAAGAGAAGCTCAGGCGCTGCCAGAGCGGCATCGACAGGCTAGCAGCAAAGGAACTCTTGTCAGGACAACTTAATTCTTCCCTAGATAATTAGGCAACGAAGGTGATTGATGAGGAAGAATAAAATTATTGAGAGTCTTCTACCTACAATGCTCATTTTCATTCCTCCACGTATTTCCACAGACAGTCACAAATACTTTGGGTCTTGCCGGTCCCTCTTTGTTTTTGTTTTCAGAGATAAAATGAATATTCTAATAAAACACTTTAATGATCAGAGGTAATGGAGGGAAGAAAACATACGTATACTCTTTCTGAGACTTTTAAGGAAAAGGGCTGCTGAAC